TTATCTGCGACCAATCTGTTACCATTATATTTCGTCCTATATATGTGACGGACACGAATATAAAGCGTCGTAATATAGCAACTTATATGCGACCAAGTGTAGTAGTTATAAATAAACGACCAAGTTATGACACTAACGTTCGTCATACAAATGACCGATATGCGACTGTTTGAGGTGTTGGTATACTTGTAATTGGTAGTCTTAAATTCGTCATAAGTGTGACCTATTTGCGACAGTATTAGGTGGTCATAGAATAGTGACTACTCTGGAGGTGGCCAATTAGTCGAAAAAGGGTGACGAATGTGCAACTGAAATTCGATAATATTTTGATATTGTTAAATATAATGACGCAATTCCGTCACAACGTTGCGACTGTTGTATCACTAATTTGTGACAGAGTTACAATATAACAGTTTTGGTCACAGTTTTGGTCATATATTTGGTCACATTTTTGGTCACAATGTAGACAATTGTTTTGTGTTTTGAACAAAATTAAAACACTAAAAGCCATAGATTAATATATTATACAAGAGCATAGAAATATCATACATCAAAAAATAATTGTATGTTCAAAAAATTACTAAAACAAAAGATACTAAAAGTTCAATGTTCAAAGAGAAAGAGATTGGAATTAAGTAGTCGATTGTGGGTCGAGTGGTGTGCTGCCTGGGTCTTCTTCTCCTGCGGTTCCTTGTGCCTCATTGGGACTGTTCACCTGGTCATCTTGTTTAGCCATGTATTCTGCGATGAGGGGATCGGAGTTCTTCAAGTACCTTGGAAACTTTGACATTTCAGAGATCTTTTCTTGAGCTATGCGGTGCTTCTCATCACGTCGAGCATTTTCTACCTCTTGAGCATCAATCTTACGCTGCGCTTCCTAAAGTTGGTCTTGGATCTGTGAGAGTTCCAGCGCAGTGGAGCTTGCAAAGCTCTCCTTCTCCTTTCCGGTTTGAACCATCAGAGGTAGTTCCCCAAGTCCAAAGACGACTCCTTTCGGATCATTCTGTGTACACTGAAAATGAAACCAAAACACAATATCTATAAGGAAGCAGTTAAGCAATCAAACTAAAACCAGAACCAACAATTAACCAAATCAAACTCTAAAACCAGAAGCAGCAGTTAAGCTAAAACCAGAAGCAGCAGTTAAGCAATCAGTAAATCAATCAAACTTAAACCAGAAGCAGCAGTTAAGCAAGCAGTTAAGCTAAAACCAGAAGCAGCTGTTAACAAAGTCAAACTCTAAAACCAGAAGAAGCAATGTTTGTACAATTATTCAAATCCAAAGAGAGAAGGAATCACACTCTAAAACCAGTAAACTAATCAACAATTCTACAATGATTCAAAATCAAAGACTAGAGGAATCAAACTCAAATTTTAAACACAGTAAACCATTCTACAATGATTCAAAACCAAAGACAGGAGGAATGAAACTCAAACTCTAAAACCAGTTAACCAAAGACATGAGGAATCAAACGCTCAAACTCAAACCAAAGARAGGAGGAATCAAASTAAAATCAAAGACAWGAYRAATCAAACTGWAACWGCAAAACCAGCAGAGACCACAAGAGAAAGGAGAATACCGCGGAATATCTCATTCTTTTCCTCGATGGTTAGTGTCCGCTGAGTAGAGCGTTGAGAAGAATTCCCTGAAYRSRCAGGCCCTTGAAGATCTTCCTCAGACATAGCTTGATTCAGTTGCTTCTCATAAGCCTCATGAACTTGTTGAGCTTTGAA